ACTGACAGCAGAGTCTGATGGGGGCTTGAACTCACAAACCGTGAGATCATGACCTGAGCCGAAGTCGACTGCTTAGCTGACTGAGACACCCAGGTGCCCCTAAATAGCATGTTTTTAGAGAGATGAGCAGAGAAGTGTTGAGAAAAGAATGAAAATCCACCAAAATTTCATTCAGAAGAAAAAATCTATAAACATTTTTATATCTTTCAGTCTTTTTCATTGAAATATATTTGACATACAGCATTGTGTAAATTTAAGGTGTACAACAGGTTAATTTGATACATTTACATATGGTAACATGATTGCCATTGTAGCAACAATTAGTACCTCTGTCACATTTCATAATTATTCTTTCTTTTTAGTAGTTGGTATTCAGCCTTTATATTTTCACAGAGTCAAAATCATATCTCTACAATTTTGAGTACTCTTTTTATTCAACATTATAAACATTTCCCATGTGACTTAATATTCTAGGACATCATTTTTAATGACTGCATAATATTCCATCATATAATATAAACCACAATTTGCCCATCTGTCCCCTGGTTGTTGATATTTAGGTTGGAAGAACTCAATCCCTACTCTCATTAAACCATATTTACACAAATAATCATAAAAATTTTAAGAACAATAGGTATTCCAACCTAAAAACAGAGTCCTATGGGAGTAAAAGAGGAGTCAAATATAGTCTGAGATCTCAGGGGAGACTTCTCTGATGAAGTAATACTTAAGTAACTCTGAATAATTATAAGAAATTATTACAGGAATGGGAAAGAGCACCCCCCTGAAGAGGAAGTCACAGAAAATACATCATATGGAAGTTCTCTGGGTTGGAAAGGAGTGTGTTTGGGCATCAGGGAAGCTGGAGCATAGACTTGTGGAATAGGCAGAGGACAAACCATAAAGAGCCTTTGAGGCTAAGTTTGAGATTTTGGATTTATCTTTAAGGAGGAAGAGGAGGAGGAGGAATGGGGGAAGAGGAGGAGATGAGGAAGAAACACCTCTGAAGAGTTCTAAACAAGGAAATAAAATTATTAGACTTTCATTTTACAGAAATTGCTTGGACTACAGTATAAAGAATATATTGGCAGGGAGGAAAATACCGTTGCCAGGAGACTCGTTAGATGGGGAGACAGAATGGATTCAGGAGTCATGGAGGGAGAAGGGTGGACTGATGGGAGACATATTTTGGAGGGAGGATGATCAGAACTCAGTGACTGGATGTAGGAGTGAGGAATAAGATGTCAAGAATTCCTCTCGGTTTTCTGGTTCGATAATGGATGAATGATGGTGCAGTTCACCAAGAGGCAACACGGAGGAGCAGGTTCGAGGGGAGAGATGAGGAGTTCAGTTTTGGATATGTTGCAATTCATGTACGTGTGAACCATTGGAATGGAAATGTCAAGGGAAAGGGTTGTATATAGGTGTCTGGAGTCCAGAAGAAATCTCTGCTTTAGGTAAACATGTAAGAGTTACCAGTATATTAATGATATGTGAAGTCACAGGGTGTGACTGTCACATGAGGGAGCATGAGGACAGCCTAGGACAGAGCCTATGGTGGATGCCATGCTGCCCAGTTAGATTCCCCCCTTCAGGACTGAAAGTCTTTGGCCGCTCAGGTGTTGGCTGACAGCCTTAGCTTCTAGCCCTCTCCAAGAACTGCCCTTGGCCGAAGAGAGCCACATTGCCCAAGGTCTTGCCCTCTTGGAGAAGGTACCTGTCTGCATCTGAACTAAGAACAACTGAGAAAGGCCATTCTGGCTTCATAGGTACTTGTGAGATTGTCTGAAGGCCTTGTTGAGGTTGTACCACAGTTCAAGTTCTCCCTTGGACCTGCTTCCTTCCCCCTTCCCTTCTTCATCGTGAGAACATTCCTTAGTAAGTTTCATACATTCAAAGCTCTCAGAATTGGCTTTTGGGGGAACCTCTTCTACAAGTGAAACTTTCCGCTCAGGTGTGACTCATTTTACAACACAGACTGGGAAAACTTTTGTTGGAAGAGACAGATGAATGGATCATTTAACTCGAAAAAGTCCCTTGGAATGCATTTTGAAGGCATATACTTCTAGGCAAAATTTAAAACTTTTAAAAAGGCTTTATTCTTATCAACTTATCTCTAAGTGGATTCCCAGACCTAATTGGAAGGGTTCTTCATAAGTGATCCTGCTTGAATTAAGCTGATGTCAATTTCCACCCCCAGGACTTGCCTCCTTTATTTAGAAATTCTTCTTCTACATCCATTTCTAGCCAATCTGAGAAGAAATGTGGACTGACCTTTCTGCCTCCCTATTGTCCATTTTTCCTTTAAATCAAAAGTAGGCAATGGCCTCTTCCCTCTTTAAGAAGAAAGAGAATCTCATGATTTTCATAGCTTTCTGACTGCTGTTGTTTGAAATTTAAATATAGAGCTCCTAGCAATGGTATGAGCAGAGCTTCCTTACATACTGGCCTCTGGGAGATTCTTAGAGCAGATCTCTAAAAAGCTTATATTCCTATCACACCATTAAGTTTTGAATAACACTCTTAAACTGACAACTCAACAAGATTTATAATGAGACATTTAAAGTGCTTTTATCATCTCTTTCATCGTAGATATATTGTATACATGGAAACAAAACAAAACATTAAATGCTAAGATGTAATGAAATCCTATCCACAGAAGCTCACAGATCCTTTGAAACTTATGTATGTAACATAATTATTTTCAGATACAGTATCATTGAGCTCTTTGGGAAAAGACTCATATTGTATTCACTTTTCTCCCACTCTGAATCTTGACAAGAGTTTCTCAGGAAATGGAAATACAATGGGAAAATGTGCATCAGTGAAAATAAAGTCTTGGGTTTAATATCTGATAAATACAGGAGAAATGAGAGGCAGGAAAAGGAGGAGAAAAAAATGTGTGCTAATCATCTCATTTATATGGGAAGAGATCAAAGGATTTTGCTCTATTTTTGAGGCTGGGAGATGAATGTTGATTCAAATATGTTTTTGGCAAAATAAAAAATAACTGAAGGCATCATTTAAAAAAAATTTTTTTTTAATGTTTTATTTATTTCTAAGAGAGAGAGAGAGAGAGACAGCGTGAGCAGGGGAGGGTCAGAGAGAGAGGGAGTCACAGATTCTGAAACAGGCTCCAGGCTCTGAGCTGGCAGTCAGCACAGAACCCGACGCGGGGCTCGAACCCAACCGCGAGATCATGACCTAAGCGAAAGTCGGACGCTTAACCGACTAAGCCACCCATGCGCCCCAACTGAAGGCATCATTTAAAAACATGTGTGCCTTTCAAATTCTTGAAGAAAAATATGTATGTAGAAAACAAAAGAAATCACAAGGAACCATAGAGATTATGACAAGTATAAGACAATACAGGAGTTAATTTTAAGGAGCTAAATTCCCATATATAATTTTAATTTTTTTTAACGTTTGTCTATTATTGAGAGACAGAGAGAGGCAGAGTGTGAGCTGGGGAGGGGCAGAGAGAGGGAGAGACACAGAATCAGAAGCAGGCTCCAGGCTCTGAGCTGTCAGCGCAGAACCTGATGCGGGGCTCAAACTAACAAACCCTGAGATCATGACCTGAACTGAAATCAGACACTTAGCAAACTGAGCCACCCACGTGCCCCTAAATTCCCCTGTTAAAAAGATTACTTATAATGACCTAGTCAAGAATTGAAGTCCAATTATAAAAGGCTGGGAAGAGCAAAGACAAACCATGGAAAGAAGAGTTTGCATTTGTATTTTAGAGAGAGAGAAATTAAAATCACAAAGCACTAAAAAGGAATAATAGGTCATTTATATCCATAAAAGCAAAATTTACAAGAAGATGGGACATCATGAAGCTATATGTCAAATAACATAACTTTACTGCCAGGAGAAATATCACAACAAAATTTGATTTTGCTAATCAAAAATAGCAACACCTATATTTAATTTCCTGACAGATCGAGCAAGTGAGAAATCACTTGGGGTATAGAAGATTTAAATGTCTTATGTAACAGACTGACTTAATAGATATATATTAAAAAATTCATATTTATACAGAAAATGATTTATTTCCTTATGCTCAGAAAATTTTAACAGAAATAGTACATATGTTAGGCCACAACAAAAATTTAATACATTCTGCAAATCAGAAAATTTACAGAAAAAACACTCTTGGGCTACAAACAATAAAACTAGAAATGAGTCTCAAAATATACAAATTATCAAATATGAAAAGTAAGCATTTATGCAACACCTGGGTGGCTCAGTCAATTGAGCACCCAACTCTTGATTTTGGCTCAGGTCATGATCTCAGGGTTGTGGGATAGAGTCCCAAATCAGGATCAGGCTCTGTGCTGAGCATGGAGTCTGCTTAAGACTCTCTCTCTCTCTCTCTCTCTCTCTCAATAATAAAAACAAGAAATGTAAGCATTTATAAATAAAAATAAAACAAAACTATTTACTGAATGACTCTTTAAAAAAATTTTTTTAAATGTTTGTTTATTCTTGAGAGAGAGAGGCAGGCGAGGGGCAGAGAGAGAGGGAAACACTGAATCTGAAGCAGGTTTCAAGCTCTGAGCTGTCAGCACAGAGCCTGATGCAGGGCTTGAACTCACGAACTATGAGGTCATGACCTGGGCCAAGGTCATGACGCTTAACCAACTGATTCATCCAGGCACGCTGAATGACTCTTGAGTCAGAGAAACAAATTTTCAGTTATAAAATATTTGAAGAATGATAATGAAAGAATAGCAATAAGCAGAGGTAAATTAAAATAATAACTATAATTTCTCATGTTCAAACAGGAAGAAAGCAAAGCAATAAACTAGATATTTGTTCCAGGAAGTTCAAAAGAGAGAGATGAAATATACTTAAGGAAGTCAGGAAGAAGAAAACATTTTAAAAGTATAAATCATAAAACTAAAAATAAAACTGATTAACATAGGAGCTAGGTCTAAAACAATGTGTATCTAATAATTGAATAACTTGAATAAATATTTGTTTTGCACTTACAGGTATTGTTCTAAGCACCTTACAGATATTAACTCCTTATAGTGACCCTGCACAGTAAGTATTCGTAGTATCCTGTATTTATGATAAGGAAACTGAGGCACAGAGAGATTAAGAAACTTACCCAACATCAGAAGTCTAGCAAGTGGTAAAGCTGGGTTTTGAGCCCAGACAGTCTGGCTCTAAAGGCTGTATCCTTAATTTCCATAATGTACACGCAATTATTAAGGAAAATGGTTACAAACTTATAGAAACAATGAATAACAATTTAAAAATTTATAAGTGAAAAATGCCTGTGACATTCTGCTAAAAACATGGGTGATTTAAAAATATTCTCTATAAGTAATTCATGGTGCATGCCACCTACAATTGTCAAATAATGTTTAAAGAATAATGATTGTTTCATCCAGAAATGCCAATACATTATCTTAAGAGCATATTATTTTAAGGGTGAAATTGATAATGTTTAAACTCTTCAGCAAGCTATTGTGGCATTTAGATATCTGTTATTTTGAGTGATCAACACTCCTCTCCACTTTTTGGAAATGCTCCCTTTTTTTCCCAAGAAGTGCTTTTGTCCACTTCAACCATGTGGTTTGAATGGAAGTTGTGATTTTTGTCAGATTTTGTTTCCCTTGTCAGAAGTGGGCAATGGACTCAAATAGGGTCCATCAGAGCCCTTCTCTGGGAACTTTGAACTTAGGACCTCCGAGGGCAACGCTCAGTTTCTTGTTTGACATGATGGAGGATCTTAGCAATACTTCTAAACTGAGAACAACTAAAATTTTGGCTAAAATAGAAACAGCTATTTAAAAAAATGAGATACAGCTTTGGATTGGCTAAAATCCAAACCACTGACAACACTAAATGCTAGTAAGGTATGAAGCAATAAGGATTCTCATTCATTGATATTAGGGTTGCAAAATAATACAAATACTTTGGAAGAGTGTGGCAGTCTTTTGCAAAACTAAACATACTCTTACCATAAGACCTAGCATTTCTTTTCTTGGTATTGACCCGAATAAGTTGAAAAGTTATGTTATATAAAAACCTACACACCCATGTTTAAAGTAGCCTTATTTAAAAAAAAATTAAAAATTTAAAGTAGCCTTATTAACTGTAGTTTCCTGATCTTTGGTGCTAGAATGTAAGTTCTGTGAGGGCAGGTGTTTTGTCTGTTATGTTCATGGTACTATCCTTGGGAAATTTCATGGTGTTTGGTCTATAGTATTTGCTTATTTGATGAATGAATAATTTACTCAGAAGGGGAAAAATAAAATAGAGTAGCCTTATTCATAGTTGCTACAACTTGGAAGGCATCAAGATAGCTTTCACTGGGTGACTGGATAAATGAATTGTGGTATATCCAAACAATGGAATACTATTCAGTGGTAAAAACTAATGAGCTATTAAAGCCATGAAAAGACATAGAGGACTTTCAAATGCATTCTGCTAAGTGAAAGGAGCCAATCTGAAAAGACAACATACTGTATGATTCCAACTTTATGACATTTTGATAAAGGCAAATTTATAATCAGTCACTGCGAGGGGTTTGGAGGGAAGGAGGGAGAGATGAAAAGGTAGAGTACAAGGGACTTTTAGGGCAGTGAATCTCTTCTGTATGATACTGTAATGATGGATGTATTCTATACATGTAACTGCAGATACATTATATCTTTGCTAAAACTCACAGAGTACAATACAAAGTAACTCCTAATGTAAACAATGGATTTTAGTTAATAACAATAAGGTATCAATATCGGCTCATCCAATTTGAGCCAATTTATCAATTGTGATAAATATTCCACACTAATGTCAGATGTTAATAACAGGAGAAACTGGATGTGCATTTGCCCAGGGTGGATGGTGGCAGGAGAGGGGGTATATGGGAATTCTGTACTTCCCACTCAATTTTTCTGTAAACCTGAACTGCTTTAAAAAAATAAAGTTTGCTGGAGCACCTGGGTGGCTCAGTTGGTTGAGCCTCTGACTTTGGCTCAGTTCATGATCTCTGTTTGTGAGTTTAAGCTCCACATCGGGCTCTGTGCTGTTAGCCTGTCAGCACAGAGCCCTCTTGGGATCCTCTGCCCCTCATTCTCAGCCCCTCCCCTGCTTACATTGTCCCCCAAATAAATAAATATTTTAAAAAGTTTGTTAATTAAAAATAAAACAAACAAAACAGCTGTTGAAGAAGAAGAACCAGTGAAGCAAGGACCTAGGGAGCTAAGGTTCTGAAGAAAAGTTAATAATGGATTGGGGCAAACCCTCAATTCTCACTGCTTTCCCCCTTCACACTGCCAGTGCTTAATGATATGCCTAGAAGCTTAGCATAAAGCAGTGGCCAAGAGTTTTCATCAGTCTCTTGGGGCTGGGGAGACAAACTTTGAAGTTTATTGCTACCAAGATATACAGGACTGGAAGTGACAAGATCATAGAGGAAAGGGAACTGCTGGGAAGCGAGCCCAACCTTCTCTACCATATTTTCCCTCAAGATGTTTTCTGATTTCTACTTTGTACTTGAAGCTGATAACCCAAATAGGAAATGGATATGAAGAGGCTAAGAGACTTAAGTTGAACCTTTGAAGCTTCTTGGTGCCACAGAGAAACAATAGTTGGAGTTCAGGGTCTGCCATGGAGGAGGGGTCTTCACACCCTAGGTTTTCATTTGAGACCCCCAAGGGACTTTTCAAACCAAAAACAGATCAGATCTTACAAGAACTGAAACCTGGCCTCTAATTATCTCAATCTCTATTTGGATCAAAATGAATTTGCCCCTATTTAACTACCTGTCAGAATAAAATTAAATGATCTTTTTAGGAAAACAATAGAATCTAGAGCCTATGTGTATATTTTCATATACAGTGCAAAATAATCAATAAAAGATTAATAGGCATGTCAGAGTCAACCAAGGGAGAATAAAAAGGTAATAGACCCATGTCCATATGTGATCTGGATACTAGAATTCTCAAAGGTGGGTTTTAAAATATTTGTGAATAGTATTATTAAGAAAATAGGTGACAATGCAAAATGTCACTAAAGACCTGAAATCCACAAAAAGAACTATAAAGACTATCTATAAATAACAAAATTAAAAACCCAATAGACAATTTACCAGTAAATTAGACAAGTTAAACAAAAGAGCCCATAAAAATTCAATGAGCCAATTAGAGAAGTAGAAGGTAGTTCAAACAGAAAATATCTAGATTAAAACATGAAGAGGAAAAAGAAAAATATATGGACAATAGAGAAAACATATAGATACTTTCCCTTAAGAGATGTTGGGAAAAGGTCTGACATGCATGTATTTAGCATCCCAGGAAATAAAGAGAGAGAAAACAGGGCCAATACATATCTGAAGGAGTAAGTAAAAGGAAATCAGTAGGGAAAATCAACAAAACCAAAACCTGGTTCTTGAAAAGATTAATAAAATTAATAAGCTTCTGACCAGACTAACTGAAAAAAAAGGAAGGGCACAAATTACTAATATCAGAAATTAAAAAGAAGACATCATTACAATTCCATATACCTGAAAAGGATAAGAAAACAATGCTATGAACAGCTCTATGCCCGCGAATTTAATAATGTAGATAAAACAGACCAATTCCTTGAAAGACACACTCTACCAAAATTCACACAAGAAGAAATAGTCTAAATGATCTGTATCTCTTAAAAAAATAGAATCAGTAATAGCCTTTTTAAAAAAAAATTAAATTCAAGTTAGTTAACATATAGTGTAGTATGGTTTCAGGAGCAGAGTTTAGTGATTCATCACTCACATATAACACCCAGTGCTCACCCCAACATGGATTCAATGGTGATTTCTACCAAACATTAAAGGAAGAAATCATACCAATTATCTACAATCTTTTCCAGAAGATGGAAGCAGAGGGAATACTTCCTAACTTATTCAGTGAGTCCAACATTGTCCTAATACCAAAGTCAGACAAAGAGTTGACAAAAGAAGAAAACTACAGATGAATGTCTTTCATGAACATAGATGTAAAAATCTTCAACAAAATATTAGCAAATTGAATCCAATAATGTATAAAAATAATTGTACACACAACCAATAATACACACAACCATTTATGCCAGGTATGCAAGGCTGGTTCAATATTTGGAAATCACTTAATATAATCCATCACATCAACAGGCTAAAGAGGAAAAACTGCATGTTCATTTCAGTAGATGCAGTGAAAGCATTTGACAAGATCTATCATTAATTTATAAAAACTTTCAGTAAGAAGGGAAGGAACTTCTTGATACAGAACATCATCAAAAAAAACTTACAGGTAACATCATATTAATGTTAGGAAACTGCCCACTAAGATCAAGAACAAGGCAAGGCTGTTTTATTACTGTGTTTCAACATCATACTGGCAGTCCTATAAAATGCAATAAAGTATGAAAAGCAATAAAAGGTATACAGATAGGGAAGGAAGAAATAAAACTGTATTTATTTATGACTTGATAGTCTCTGTGGAAAATCTGAAAGAATCAACAGCAAAACTCCTGGAACTAATAAGCAGTTATAGAAAAGTTGCAGGGTACAAGGTTAATATACAAAACTTAATTGTTTTCCTATATACCATCAATTAACAAGTAGAATTTGAAATTGAAAACACAATACTAGGGTGCCTGGGTGGCTCAGTTGGTTGAGCATCCACCTCTTGGTTTTGGCTTAGATCAGATTATGATCTCGTGGCTCATGAGATCGAGCCCCTCATCAGGGTCTGTGCTGACAGCATGAAGCCTACTTGGGATTCTCTGTCTCTGCCCCTCCCCCACTTGAGTTCACTCTTTCTCTCAAAAGAAATAAATAAACATTTTTAAAGAAACCTACAATATCATTTACAGTGTCACCAAAATATGAAGTACTTAGGTATAAGCTAACAAAATATATGGAATGTATGAGAAAAATAAAAATATGATGAAAGAAGTCAAAGGAGAGCAAAATAAATGGAGGTATATTCCATATTTATGAATAGGAAGACTCAATATTATAAATGTATCAATTTTTCCCAAGATGCCAGGTTTTCTTTGATCTATAGATTCAATGCAATCTCAGTCAAAATCCTAGCAAGTTATTTTCTGGATATCAATGAACTAACTCTTAAGTTTGTATGGAGAGGCAAAAGATCCAAAATAGCCAATACAATATTGAAAAAGAAGAACAAAGTTGGAAGATGGAAAACTATCTGACTTCAAGACTTACTATAAATCTACAGTGATCTAGACAGTGTTTTACTGGAGAAGGAATAGGTAAATAGACCAGTAGAACAAAATAGAGAGCCCAGAAGTAAGCCTAAATAAATATAGCCAACTGATCTTTGATAGAGCAAAGACAATACAACAAAAAAAGTTAGTCTTTCAACAAATGGTGCTAGAACAACTGGATGTCCATATGCAAAATAATTAAGACCTTACATACTTCCCGAAAATGAACTCAAAATGGATCACAGACCTAAGTGTAAAACACAAAACTATAAAATCTCTGAAGTTAGCATAGGAGAAAACCTAGATGATCTTGGGTTTGGTGGTGATGTTTTAGACACAACACCAAAGACATGAACCATGGAAGGAATAATTGATAAGCTGGACTTCAGCAAAATTAAAAAATTCTGCTCTGCAGAAGATGCTGTCAGGAGAGTGAAAAGATAAGCCATAGACTGGGAGAAAATATTTGCAAAAGACATATTTGATAAGGAACTGTTATCTAAAATATATAGGAATTTTCAAAACTCAACAATAAGAAAATAATATTAAATAACAATAACAACAATAAGAATAACAACAATAGAATAAGAATAACAATAGAATAAGAATAACAACAATAAGAAATAAGAAAAGAAAACTCAACAATAAGAAAACAAAGGAAAAAGAAAACTCAACACTAAGAAAATTCTCGTTCATTCTTCTGGGAATGCACAATGGTACAGACATTTTGGAAGATAGTTTGGCAGTTTCTTACAAACTAAACATACTCTTATATGATCCAGGAATTGCACTCCTTGATTTTTACCTAAAGGAGCTGAAAACTATGTCCACACAAAAACTTGCACACAAAATGTGTATAGCAGCCACATTCATAATTACTAAAATGTGGAGGCAACTATAATGTCCTCTAGTAGGTGAATGGATAAACTGTGGTACACCCAGACAGTGGAGTCTTATGCAGAAAAAAAAAAAAAAAAGAAAAGAAAAGATCTATCTAGCCATGAAAAGACATGGAGGACCACATAAATGCATTTTACTATGTGAAAGAACCAATCTAAAAAATCAACTTATTGTATGGTTCCAACTATTTGACATTCTGGAAAGGCAAAATCATGGAGACAGTAAAAAGATCAATGGTTGCCAAGCATTAGGGGAGAGGGAGGGATAACTAGGTGGAGCACAGAGAATTTTTAGGGCAGTGAAACAATTCTGTATGATAGTATGATGGCAGATACATGTTATTACACATTTGTCCAAATCCATAGAATATACGACACCAAGATCGAGCTCTAATGTAAACTGTGAACTCTGGATGACAATGCTAAGTTTGGATTTAAGACTACTATTTCATGATTTGTATCTTGTTTTCTTTGTTTTTGTTGTTGTTCCTGTTTTTTTTCTTTCCTGCGTTTTTTGGGGGTATTTGAATTGTTTTAGCATTCCATTTAAATTTCCTTATTGTGGTTTTCACCTTATTTCTGGGGATTAAAATAGACCTAGTTAACTTTTCACTGTCTAGTGGGAGTCAGTACTTTACCACTTAAGAATATAAAAACGTATGTGCATGGAGGAGGGCACTTGTGGAGATGAGCACTGGGTGTTATATGGAAACCAATGTGACAATAAACTATTTGTAAAAAAAAATAAAGCAGATACTGAATCACAAAAAATAAAAAATAAAAAAAAAGAATATAGAAACGTTACCACCACAATGGTCCCGTTAGCCTCCCCTCTTTATGTTGCATTTATCCGATATATTACATCTATACACATGGAAAACCTCATAAAGATGTCATATTTTTGCTTTCAACTGTCAAACATATTTTCCAGAACTCAATGGGAGAATAATAGTCTATTATATTAAGCACCTCTCAATATTATTCTCCCATAAGTGGCTTCTCAACATCACTCCACTCTGTGTTTCTTCCTGCAGCCTCTTTCCTGGCTTCACATACCAGGAAGCCTGGATTTCCCGTTGCCATGAGACAGGCCCTTGTGGACCTTTTACTAAACTGTCAGCTCTTTCTGCTTGCGGGTTATGTCCCCATGCTTTAATAAAATCACCTTTTTGCACTACCACCACCAACAAACCCCCCAAAAACAACAATGAAAAAGACCTATCAGGATCTGTGGCTTGGAGTTATTAAAGGTGTGATTTCTACTTGTGAATCCATCATAAGCTTTGTCAAGGGATTTTTTTCCTCCTTTGGAGGCAGCAATAATTGGATCAAACATGATTTCACAATTGACTCGATGTGGGTGTCTATTGTGTTCTTAGACAATGCTCTCACCTGAAAATCATCCTGATCTTTGGAAAGGAGGGAGAAACTAATATTTATTAGAATAACTTCCTCTCACATATATGCATACTTTTATTAATAATACTCTGTGCAGCTGTGATATATTATAAACTTTACTGTCTCAGAAACATCTCCCTTAACACACACACGACACATGCACACAGATGCCTTATATGTGCATGCAGACACATATATGTCCATTTCATTAGTGAACAACACCAATAATATGAATGTTTTCTCCTGGCATTTTAGCTAGTAGTGTATGCTCATCACGTGAGCACTAATTAAGGTGACCAAACAACTTATCATGGAACCAGGATATTTTTGGAAGTGAAAGGGGAGGCCGAGAGCACTGGGCCTCATGAAGAGCACCATAACAGCACTAAAGCTGGAGATAAGTGACCAACGATGATTTGACCCACAGCTGAGAGAAACCAGTGGCAACAGTCTTAATCTCAGAGGATTTGAAGAACGTAAGGGCAATCCCTAGGGATGAAATAATTCAGCCATTCAGAACCTTGTCCCTGAACTAAAAAGGGTTTCCCTGAGCACAATCTTGTCTTATTCACAGCTCCCCTGCAAGGGAGGAATTATTGTCCCCACATCCAAGATAAAGAAATGGAGGCTTGGGGGAGTGAATACAAATGTCCAAGATCCTCACAGCCAGAACTTCAAAGAGTTGACACTAGGACTTTGCCTTCCCCGATTCCAGACACCGACCTGGAACGTAAATGTGTGGACTGCATACAAACACCAGTGGCCATGTATCAGGCCTCCACTTCCAGTTCCTGGTCGCATAACAGCTGTGCGACCTTAGCTGACCTGTGTGTTTATAGTGGCATTGTGAGTATGGCAGCTTCTGACATGCAATGCTTGCCATGTGCCCCACTCAGAGCTGCTTTCCTGTCGTTACATCACTTTCACACCTCATATTAACCCCATCACATTTTGCAAATGAGGGAAATCGTCTGGTAGAGACTGGAAAAGTGCCCACTGCTTGGGAGATACTCGACGTTAGTTCCCCTTCACCCTTTACCACAGGTCAGAGCACAGTGCAGGTCCTGAACCATTTGAGCTTTCACAGTATTGCTCTGGAAGATTTTAAAAGGTAGTCCCTCCTCCTAATGAATATGTGTCCTTCCGTTTTTCTAAAGATTCAAGGATTGCTTGTTATATGGTTATTATTATTACTATTATTATTATGGCCAGAATCCCTCCCACTTCTTGAAACCATTTTGTCCCATGCCCTGGTTGTGGCCATGCATGAGAAACAGCAGGTGGTGCCAGATGACAGATGGTGTGGGAGCCCGTTCCCCGGTGGGAGGGGGCGCGAGCGAGGGAGCAGGCAGGCAGCTGCCAGGAGCTCTTCCCCTCTCGCTCGCGCCTCGCTCTCAGAAACTCCCAATCCAGACACAGGCAAGGCGCTGTCCTTTCAGCACCACGAGCTCGGGCTGAGGAGGGAGGACTCCTGGCCGTCCTCCTCCTCTTCAAATTGGCTTGAATCTGCTCTGACCCCCCAAGAGTGCATCACAGTAAGTAGGCATTTGTTTTTGCTATAACCACTGCTCAATATCCTCTGACCCTTTACCATCTCTTTCACCTCCACAACAACCCTATTTTGTCTAATAATGTTCCATCAGCAGGATTGACAAGAGAAATCCAGTTGTCTGGGCTTCTAGGGTTCGGGTGGGAGCATCGTTTGACTTCCAAAGGAGCTTGAGAGAAATATATGCTATTTGTTTATTTAGTTGGCAATCTTGCAATATGGGGGTTGCTAACTTTCCATGGAAGCAAAAAAAAAAAAAAAATGGCCCTTCGCTATTGAGGAAATGGAGGCATTCCATGGCTGAATAGGAGGATCAGGTTCAAGCCAGTGCTTTTTTGTTTTAGGAAATTGTACCTCCTGTACAACCTACATATCATGTAAAAGGCTACAGTAACATAGAGACATTGAATGTACTTATTGTGTTTTAGGGAGATAGCTGAAGCAAAGCCAACATAATAAAATTAGCAAGGTAGTAAGGTGTGGTGGTAAGGTGAAATTTATCATACTGCAGGGTGACCCAGAATAATAAGATTTAATTTTGCAGTACGAATAAGCTTTTCACTGAGATTATATGACTGTATTAGCTCTAGTGTCTTGTATTTTTTTTTTAAAAAAGCTTGTATATTGTTTGTGTAAGTCTGGGATTTTCCTTGAGTTTCCTGAATTATAAGACTGTTGGAACCACATGGGCGGGTGTCATATTTTGATGATTAAAGAAGTTTTACTGGATAATGAGAATCATGTCAGGAAATCTAGCAGAAGATAGATAGATGACTGATCTCTACATGGAAAACCGAGTGGAGCTGTTGAGGACAGCGCTATTTTCTCTGTCGTCAGCCCTCTCTTCCCCTGCCTCACCTCCCACTGTAACTAGAACCCCACTGCTTGTCTTAGGTCTGGGAAGAAAGGTGTAAGGATGGTGAAGCTGAACAGTAACCCCAGTGAGAAGGGAACCAAGCCGCCTTCGGTTGAGGATGGCTTCCAGACCGTCCCTCTCATCACTCCCTTGGAGGTTAACCACTTACAGCTGCCTGCTCCGGAAAAGGTAAAGCAGATGCTCTTCTCCCCATCAGTCCCTCATGCCTCCCCCATCTCAGGAAATAAAGCAGCAAAAAATGCCACCTCTCCAAACCTTTCCATCCCCTCAGCTAAATATGTCCCCTTTCTTGTAAAATGTAGTTATCCCTTTCAGAGCCATGCCATTTCTTGTGTTATCTCAGGTTTATGGTAAGTGTTTACTCATTTTTTTGTTCACATATACATACATGGGCGAGAAAACTAATCTTCCTCTTTTAAAGTTTCATTGTAGCAGATGAGTGCTAATAGCTTGTAGATGGTGATGGAGAAAATTGTCTTGATTATTTGGGGGAGGCGTTTCAAAAATTCACTGGTATAGATTTGAGGACAGAGAATTGGATGCAGTCCAACAAGCATTTAGTTTGCACCTGCTAAGGCTCTATCCTTGTGCTACAAGTTGGTTATGAAAAGACAAATGACAAAATCCCTCTCTGGTAAAATACTTAATATAATGCATCAGGGTAAATGCTATACCTGAGAATTTCACAGGTTGTGAGAGCACAGGGGTGGAAACAATTAAATTCTGTTGGGGAGGAGGGGGGCTGGAAGGACAGATGAGGTAAACTGCAGAGGTGAACATTTGAATTTGGCTTGTAAAGGTGAGTAAAAGCCTTCCAGAGAGACTACGGGAGGAAAAGACATTTAAGACCTATGCAAAGCATGGAGAGCTTTTGAGAAATAGCATGACTAGAGTAGAGCATCTTTGGGGGAGGCGTGGCTGGCAATGAATGACTGGCTGATGGCACATCTCCTGACATGGGAGTAGTCCATGAAGAATGGAGGTGGGCATTTGTACCAAGGTGGGCACTGATGCAAAAGTTATTCCATGGATGGAGGTGGGAGACACATTATTGCTTCCGATCCAGTTGAGAGAACTTGGGGTTTTACAATGTGAGCTTTTGCATACTGTAAGAGAGAGATTTGGAGGTAAATGATGGAGTTCCCTGGCTGAAGAGCAAACAATGGATCATTCCATCTGTTTGGTTTCCTCATTGGCATCTCCAGGAGGGCATTGTGTGTCTTAACCAATTGGCTCTAGCCAATGAACAGAAGAGGAGCCAAAGCCAGATAAAAGGCCTGGCTGATTGGCTGGGGGTTGAGTCATCTGTTTTGAAAGTGCAGAGGTTGTCAGTATGAGAATGTACACGGGGGTGACAGAAATAAAGAATCCTTGAGCCATCACGAGAGACTGGTAAGGCTTTTAAAAATAAAATGTGAACAGGCACTTAACACTAAAGAAATGTGAAAGAACAGTATTAATTAGGCATCTGCTACGTGTACAGCAGAGGCTCGCAGTTTTTGACTGCGTTTTAGAATCACTTGGGGGAAGCTTTGAAAATCCTGATATCTGGGCTACACCCCAGAAAAATTATATCAGAAGCTCTGGGGGTGAGACCCAGGCATCAGTATTAATTAGATCTCCCCAGGTGACTCCTGAAGTTGAGAACCATTGTGCTAGGTGCACATCTCCCCCGGGGAGTCAGGGATTATGTACACAAATTTATAGGTGAAAAGGTGAAGGATCAGAGAAATTTGGTTAGTTATCCAAGCTTACAGAAGGAGTAAGTGGCAATGCTGGAATCTGAACCCAGATATAATGGATATCGGAGAGGGAAAGGGAGATATTTTTTCAAGGTTTTGTGAGGCTTCAGGAAGAATCTTTACCGTTCTGCCAACAGCTACAGCCTGGGGGACCTGCATGTCCCTTAGAGCTGTGCAAGGAAAAGGGATTGTGGTGAGGTCACCCCTCCCCCAATCCCTATAAACACCTGCAAGTCATCCAGAGATAGCATGGCCTCTGTCTCCCTTTACTCCCCCACCATCGCATCCTCTTGCCTTTGAGGGCTTTCTTCTCTGGTTTAGAGAGGAAAAGGTACAATAGCCATTGAGCATCCAATCCAGATGTACCAGAAGCCTGTCCCAAAGCCTGAAGGACAAATGCCCAAATGCCCTGGGTACCTGAATGCATGGAAAGGGAAAGCAGTGCATCCTGAGAGATGCATCCCTACAGGGACACTTCCTCACAGGGGCTCATCACAGCCTTTCTCATGTTCAGGACAAAATTTTCCTACCAGGCGCCTCAATCTCCTCCTTTGTGAAGTGGGGAAGATCACCCCTACCTCACAATGGTCAGAATGGAGTTATATATGGCCTCAGATGTAAAGCACCTGGCACAAAAGTAGCTATAAAAGAATAATAATCATTTTCAAGTGTTTCCTAAATACTAGATTCTGTTCTAAGCTGTGTATAAACACACACACACACACACACTTTTCTTTCACCGTTTCAATAGTTAAGAGGACCCAATAAGGGAATTGTTACTTTAATCCAGTTTTTGAAGATGACAACATTCAAGCTTGGAGTGGTCAAGTAACTTCCCAAAACACATCGTTAAGGAGGCATCCTGGCAATGTCCAGAGAACCCAGAACCCAAGCAGTGTTGTTCCAAAACTTCCACTTCAGCAGAAACAAGGAGCAGCTGGCCTGGGAGTCCACAGACTTGGGCTCTAGTCTGAGCTCAGTTGACAATCCACAATGTGACTGGCGTGGCTTGTTTCTCCTCCTTCAGGCCTCTGTCTTCTCTTCTCTGAGTGAGAAATTGTATTAGTGGTGTTCCATGCTAGCATTTTGGCTTTCTAATATTTGCAAGAGTAAACACTTTCCCCCTCAACATGACAACAAATGTGTTAGAAGAGAAGTGCACTCAGGAAACCCGGTGGGTCCTCCAAATGCTTAGCGGGCACCAGAGACTCTGCAGCCACCTCTCTAGGAGGGTTGCCAGCCCTGCCCCATCTCTTACTTTTTTCCTTGACTGATGTCTTGAAGCGAGTTTTTTAAACTCCCTCTGCCTCTTCATTGTACAGTGGGTATGATAGCATTGGGACTTAAGTCACAGGACTACAGGGAAGGGGTAGGGAGTCATGATGCAGTCTTCAGCTCTTTGGTTAGGTTCCAGTCAGATGGTGAGTGTTTGAAAATGGTCACATCAGAAAGAAGTATATTTCACCACAGTGTTAAATCATGTTTTTTTAAAATTTAAAATACAGAGTGTGCTTGGTATGTGATACTGACAATCATCTGTAGGTTTGCTCACTAATTGTGCTTTAGTATAAAGACTGTGAGTTTCAGGGGGAAAACCACTTGGAGACTAAGTGGAGAAATGAGCATGTTTGAGGTCCTTGCTTTGGGCTGGAAATGGGCCTCACAAGGCATTCCTATCCGTTATTTCAGTTAATCTTCCCAACGGCTCTGTTGAGGGGTGGATAGTGCACCCATTTCACTGATGGGGAAACTGAGGGTCAGATCAATACTGTGACTTGTCCAATTCTCACAGACAGCATAGGAGAGCTGGGGTTGGAATCCCAGTGTACCTGAAACCCCAATTTTTCCCTCTGCACTGTGCTGCCCTCAATAACAAGAAGCCTCCCACCTCCAAGAATGCTTCCTCAAACTCTTATCTGTGGCCCTGCTCATCCTTGGGCTCCCTGGACCAGCAGGTGGGGCCTGGGCGTGACCCTCCAGAGAGAACATCCCAGCCTCCAATGCTCCCTCCCTGCCCAACACTAGAGGGGTTGGTGCCTGCCTCAGGAGAGGTGGGCCAGCACCCCGTCCACACTGCACCTGCGGAAGCCTCCCTGGAAATGGGGCTGGGTCCTTCTCCCACGGAAACTCTTTCCAGTCATCTCCACTGTCTACAACCCTCAAATCTTGGCCTTGGCAAATCCTTCTCTGCCCCACTGGCTTCCATTCCTACCACTCCTACTTTGTACCCTGAACACCAGCAGGTCAGACCTACCTAGAGCAGTGGAGGGTGATTTTCCCCTCAGTGGGACATTTGCTAATGTCTGGAGACATTTTAGGTTGTGAAAATTAGGGGGGAGACACCATTGGGAAGAGGCCAAGATGGCCGCTAAGTGTCCTACAGTGCATAAGATGCATGCCCCCAAATGTCAACAGTGCCAAGGTTGAGAAACAATGCCCTTGAGTTTTCCACACTCTCCAGGGTGGTTCATGCTTCCTCCTCCTTGCGCAGGCCATTCCTTCTGCCCAGAATGCTCTTCTCAACCCTTTGCCTAATAGGTGAGCACTCATCTTCCTAAACCCAGCTCAGACGGTACCCAGCTCTTCTGGGCACCTTACCTAGCCAACACAGAGTTGGAGCTATGGTTTTACTTATCAACACCTAGTCACTCGGTCACTCACTCATCCAGCACATTTTCTTGGGTGCTTTCAATGTGCTAGGCACTATGCTAGGTTATACATATGCAGCCATGAAAAGTCAGGCATGACCACGGCTTTCATGGAGTTTCCAGTCCAATGGGGAAGAGAGACTTCAAGCAAGCCAGATGTACAGATGTACAGAGACGCAAGCTTCAAGAGGGGGCCTTAAGGAAAGAATGTGGGGCTGTGATGTGAGAAAGGATAAGGTGCAAGGGACCTAATTGTGATGGAGGCGGGTCAGGGGAGGTCCTCCTGGGAAAGGTCCCTGCCTGAGACCTGCAGGATGGGTAGTAAAAGGAGTAGGGGCAAAGGGTCGTGCATGTGGATAAGCAGTGAGGGAGCTAGAGGAATAGGCAGGAGGCCAGGTTGGCTGGGCATTCTGAGTGAGGGGAAGAGATTTGGGAGATGAGGTAAGGTGGGCACAAGTTCATGGGGGGGTTCAGTGTATTTTTTGACTTTTTTTTTAATGTTTTTTATTTATTTCTAGGAGAGAGAGAGAGAGACAGCATGAGCAGGGGAGGGTCAGAGAGAGAGGGAGTCACAGACTGAAACAGGCCCCAGGCTCTGAGCTGGCAGTCAGCACAGAGCCCGACGTGGGGCTCGAACCCACAAACCGCGAGATCATGACCCAAGCGAAAGTTGTACGCTTAGCCGACTAAGCCACCCAGGCGCCCCATGTCAGTGTATTTTTTGAAGGGTTTCAAAGTAGGAGAATAACAGGATCATATTTCTATTTAAGGAAGATTC